TTACCAACACTAATTCTGATTTATCCAATAATCTTTATTCAATTCCTACTATATACAATGAAAGCATCAAGCTAGATTCTGAGAAGTAACCATGATGACTCATGCATCATCTGGCCATTAAAATCTTACAAATTTCTAGGTAAAATAATAGATGATTTACACCCTCATTCTTCAACACACAATCAAATACAATAAAAGACTGAATGTGACAAAGTAATTTACCAGGCTAAAGATACTTTAGAGAAAAATTATAGATAAGAAAAACTTTATGGTAACTGTGTAAAGCAAAACACAGGATGAAAACTCACTAATCTGCATTCTCTAAGATGCCAATCTCACAGTTATTTTAAAGCTCAAGTACTTTGTATAAAAAAATGTTTTGTAACTGTGAAGAGCTGTGAAACTTTCTTAACATGAGCTTCATCAGTAAGACTAATATTTGGTCAGTGGTTACTATAAAATTTGATGAGGAGCTTTTTTAAGAATATGTTGAATCAGCATTTGTAAAATGGAAATCATACATAGTTAGTAGGGTGTTTGCTGGGCTCCATTTACTTATTAAAACTTAGATAGGGTACTACTCAAAAAACCAAGTAACTATATTACAATGGTAGTGATTACTCAAACTACTTGCCTGTATTCTCTTACAGCGTAGAAAGAAAAAAATGAAAATTTTATATGATAGTTGAAATGTTTACCAGCTCCAAACTTTACCAACCATTTATAATAAATACAAATGTACATAACCCACACAGATACTATTATTTCATGTAGTATTCTTTAACATTTGGCTTAATAATTTTAATAATTAAGGCTTGCTTAGACAATTAACTGTGGGAAGGGGTTGTTTTATACAACATGATGAGCTGAATAAATGAAGTGTCCTGCTATGTGAGCCAAGCCAGGGCCTGGCAAACAGAGTCAGATTCAAAGTATTGATAGACAGATGCACAGTGGTGACAGAAACATTTTTTTAATCTCAACTAGGATAATAGTCACCCATTTCCCAAAATTCACCAACCTGCATCCTTTAACTATTATTATAGGTGCATTTTGATGGAAATTATATCTCAATTAAAAAGCATATCACTTTTGGAAGACAGAATGAAGAATTCTTGGGTAGTAAAAAAGTGGAAATGCAGAGTCTTCTTAGGGCAAAACAGGGTCAATAAATGACATAAAATTTTTTTTCCTGTCCTCAGCTAATCTCAGTGCTAAACACCCCAGTCAAGTAAGTGGGCTGGGAAAAGACATGCACAGACAGGCCTGAGAAATGGTGCTGGAACAGGCCCTCTGGATTTGGATTTCCTTATCTCTTGTTTAGATTCTACTCATCCTTCCTAGAATGAAGTAATCTAGGGACTCAACTCCTTAGGCATGAGACTCCCCTAGAATCACCCTTTCAGGGGTAGAGGCTGAGTTCACAAGACTATAACAAAAACCAGTGGTTTTAGCTCAGTTATCATGACTCCTACTCACAGTTTAATAATTACAAGCACACTGATCCCAGACCATATATAGGCATTCTAACATAAGGTAGACTGAAAAGAACCTTAGTATAAACATGAGATACTTACTCCACATGGGTTCTGATTGGTGCTGCTGGCTATGAGAAGATGCCTGGCTCACACCACAATGAAAATGAGCACCACCACAGCCTGCTGGCTAGATCAGCTGATGTTTGTACCAGGAAGTGTACAACCCTCTTATAGGCTGTGGGCTGACAAATGGTTTGCATATTGGCTATTTCAAGTAACACTGCTATAGTTGCTGATATTTTAATAAAACGTAGAAAACAGCAGAACATTCATTCAAAAATGATGTATTGAGCCACAGGGCATGTACTGATACTGGGCAGTAGCAGGGAAGAGGTAAGAAAATGACTAAGACAAGGTATCTACCTTTCTTTAGCACTACTAAATAAAGCACTACTACTATCACTGACGTCATCCTTATCAACCTTTCAGACTAGCATAATACCACATTCACGGTACCACATTTAGGGGATCTGACAATTGCCACAGTCCTTTTCTGGATATGTCAGCCTTTTGTAGAATAATGGGCATTTGAATGGTCTTTTTCCTAAGACATGAGGTGCATATGAAGTTGCATGTGTGAGATACCTCATTTGGTTAATGATCTCTTTCTTCTCTTTTCCTTTCTGGCAGAATCATTGATCAGAAGCAGAATGATAACAATAGAGCTCTCTGTGTAAAACCAAGCTTCAGCTTTTTAACTGCTTTGGAAAAATGACAATCTGATAATGAGCAGACAGACAGATGTGCGAGTTTTAGGCACCAGAGAATGTACAGAGTCCAAAAATGATTCCAATGTCTATTAAGATAGAGAGAAGTTTATAAAACTTGGAAAGTTCAAGAAAGCAGGGCAGATGGGAAGATGGACTCTCTGGACATGTCTCATTTGTCAAAAGCCCAATTAAAATAAGAGACCCAGGTGTAATCTGATCACTAAAGAATACAGATGGACAGTACTACTGTGTGATTGACAGGTCACTTTTATTAATGTACCCCAAGTTTGCACTAGCCATCTTGGCAGTCACATAAAGAACCTGCTGTCAACTAAAATTCCTAGGTCAATTTCCCATGAACTGTTGTTAAATCAAGTTTCCCTTATCCTGAACTTGAATAATTTTTTGCCCTCTAAATAATAGACTTCATTAAATTTCATCTTCTAATTTCCAACCACTGTTCCAGGTACTTATGCTCTGCTGTTTCCATGCTTTAGTCCTCTCACCTGTCCCCTTCCCTCCCTCTCTGTCCTCCTTTTTCCTCTCATCTCTCTTCCCCATCCATCCCTCCCTCACCTTTCTTTATGTATCAAATGTATTAACAATCCCTCCTCCAGAAATCTTATCACTGAATCACTGATATCTTTCAGATTATTTGATGCAATGCTAAATGTGTCCAAGTTCATGAAACAGCCAACCTGGAAGTAGAGACTGCATTATCTCATATCTGGGTAACTACAACTACCACTTCAGTGGTCTCCCTACCTGGAATCATTTCTACTTCATATCGATCCTCCAAACTTCTCTGACATCTTTCTAAAATACATAACTAATCACCCTTCTTTTAAAATTCTTCTAGTAACTCCCATCATCCACAGGGATAAGGTAATTGCTTGTCATAGGCACTCTGGGATGGGTTGCCACATGGCTCTCCCACCTCATCCTGCCCCTCCCGAGGTCTGCATTGAATGGCTGTGCCTTCATGCCTAGACCAGGCTCCTGTATTTGTCTGACAGTTCACTACATCTTTAAGAATGCAGTTCAACTATGACCACTTCTCCAAGGGGGAAGAATTAACGCACTATCTTCTATCTTCGGATTTCTGTGACATGTGCCAACCTCAGGTTCTAGAAATTCTCCTCCCCCGCCCATTGTGTTGTAGTTATTTCCCCCAAATTTTTGGTTTGTTTTGAATGATATACCCATCTAGTAGCACAATGTCTGGCACACAGAAGGCTCAAGGTAGTGTTCTTGAATGATTAAACTACTTTAGAACTGAAATTGACCCATAAAATACTGATGAAGTAGGGATGGGTAGACAGATGCCTACTGAGTTTATATCCTCTTAGATTACAAGATTTCATTCTGTTTGTGAGGATGGGGCTTTTAAATACCTTCTGTTTGTGAGGATGAGGCTTTTAAATACCTTATGTAAATTCACATATATTGTTTCTATAATACCTCCGATCTTCCTAAAATTTCTAAACTTCAAAGGGAAAAAAAGGCAGCAAACTCTCTCTTTCACAATGATGGAAAATGGAAGCTACACAAATAGCAAGAGTAAAGTAAAATGGAAAGAACTCTGATGGATTTAGGGAACTTGAGTCAGTGAATGGTGAATGGATAATGAACTCACTTTTGTCAAAGTAGTTACAGTCTTAATCCAGTTACTTAAATTCTTCAATCTTTAGGTGTTTTTTTTTTTTTTCTCATGGATAAAAAATATTTTTGAAGTAAATAATCTCCAAGTTTCCTTCTGGTCCTAAGAATTCAAAGTTATTTAACACAGAGAATCTGGTTTGTGGGGTCTTAGGTAGAGACCATGGTGAGGAGTTTCCTCTGCTGGGAAAGGATTATAGGGCCACTAGGGATGAGTGCACCATGAGATGGAGACCTTGGGTGTAACAGAACTTTTTATGATATGGCAACTGGCTGGCAGAGAATTACATTGCCAGGAAATAAGTGCTTACCCTTTTAATAGAGGACAGGAATTACCCTTGGTTTCTATTCCTGAATATAACAATAACAATATGTTTTAACTCCTCATAACCCTTAAGTGCCAACAGACTACAAGTGCTTCCTGCTACCAAAGTAAAGTGAAATCCAGCACAGGAAAATCAGTTTTACCCTGTGGGTGTCATCTCATTATTTTTATTTTATTGGCTTAAAGTTGCTTATTTGGGAAAACTGTTAATAACTGTTTTGCCTATGTGCAAAGAAGTATGAATGGGCAAAGGACATGCACAGAAGCAACAATGCATTAACAGTCTCGCATGCATTTGGATTTTTATAACAGCAAATATTTTGGGTGACCTTCATATTAAATTCAATGGACAGAAACTGATATTTGACAGTAAGAACAGAATGAAAAAAAATGGTGGGGTCAGGGAGGATTAGTTAACCACAAACTAAGAGGCAAAAGCTTGTAGGGAGGGCAGATGATTGGCATTTCAGGGACTGAAACATTAGAACAATTCTATTCCAAATGCTAGAATGAATCTGTGAGGGGTACCTAGAAGTATCTATTTTTAGCGTGTGGATTCTCAGAGATCTTTGTTTTTGACAACACTCTGCCTTGACTGGGAGCATGTGCTAGAGAGCCTGTCTATCACGGAGACAGGAGCTGAGACAGGAATGCTGAGAGTCCAGCAGAGTCAGCATCACTCCTTATAGATATTTCTATCAGTGTTAACATTTAATTCAAACCATGAGAGGTTGAAGCTCTAGAGACATTTTTAGGACTCATCCTGTCATTAGGAGGTGAGAAATGCAATCAGAAAAAAAAAAAACAACCTACAAAAGCACAGCATGATCCTTTTCCTTCTGAGTTGACTATAGTTTCATGTTACAGTTTTGCAGAACAGGCTCACTTTGGAGGGTGCCTTGATATATTTAGCCTTCTGAGCCAATCCCCCAGATCTCTGTCACAGGGGCTCTCCCAAAACCATCATTACCAGTCACAGCTCTCCCTGAATCAAGTCAACTTTCAGCATCAGTTCTACATGATGGCCATCATCATTTTGTGACCACTAATGATATAATTTGCTAAGTGGGAGGAGAAGTAGGGATGGTACTGGTATTGCTAAAAAAAAAAAAAAAAATGATCAAGGGTTTTGTAGATCACTAGAAGGAAATTAGGTAAGTCATAGTTGATGTTTAGGAAAAAGCAGCTATAGGACTTGAAGTAGTGAGTTCCATTCAGAGAAGCAACCACTAAGTCTTGGGTATGATTTCAGAAAAACCAAGAAAGAAAAAGGCAAATATTAAAGGCAGGTGAGAAACAGTGGAAGAAAGGTCAAGACCTTTCTTGAGGTCTTACAGTGAGCCTCCATGCAGTGAGGCTTCCATGAACATCTCCCATGACACCTGTCCAGCTGATTATTTTTGAAAAAGAAGATACATAAAAAATGAACATGACAAAAAGAATACAAGATTTCCTGCTTTGGTAGAAGCTGTTTTTATATTATGGAAATGTAAAAATCATATCCCATATTATTTCTCCAGTGAGCCAAGCCCTGCACTGAATGACCAGAACACTCATACTCCAGCACCCAGACAGCAGAGGGGAGATGGCCCCTTCCCTGTGCGAACCAGCCCGCCCAGGCTGAACACTTACCTGGATCTTGCCTCAGTGGGGAATGATGGGTCACCAGCAGAGAGGCTTGACTGTCGAGGAGAGGAGTGGGACATGGTAGGCATTTGCTTTGGGGACCTTGGCACATCACTGAAGGAGCAGTCTCCTGCAGAGAGTGGGAAGGAAGACGAACTCTCCACCTTTGGGGGCGGATCCTGGGCTTGCTCGGGGGTGCTCCGCTCTCGATCTCGTCTTTGGTTCTCCACATTAAGCAGCACCTCTGTGTGGGAAACACCATCACTCCCGTGGAGGCCATAGTCCTTGGATTCAGCCACATAGGTCCTGAACCCCATGATCTCAGTCCTAGGGTATGGAGAACTCGAATCTTTGCTTGACTCTTCCCATTTGTCACTTTTTCCTCCCCTTTTCTCTACTGCATCGGGATCTTTCCTGGACTTGGCATATCGAGCTGGAGATTCAGAGTCAGCTTCAGAATCCAGAGTGAGCCCATATTTTTCTGCCAGCTGCCGTCTCCTCTCTGCTTTGTACCTCGCAATCCTTTCAGCCTTGGATTCAAGCCCCTGGGTGTCCATGGTACCTGAACCACAGGATGAGTCACCATGGATGCCTGAAGTTTCTGTGCAATGCTTGGACTGAGTCTGCTTCTCTAAAGAAGAATCGGAAGTGTCTTCCTCTTCATTTGATCGGCCTACAAGAAGATCACATGGATGTTGACACAGTAAAGACACATTCACTCTTCTCTGTCCTACACACAATGCACACTGAAGCACCCATCTTGGGAAGGACCAGTTTCTCACGTGGCCAGTGACCAAGGACTTACCTGAGGTGCTGAAGATCTGTGGTGAAATATACAAAGCATGAGTGTTCTACAGGTTCCCCAAGCTGAGAAAACCACAGCCTCAACTAAAGCTCAGTCCCTCACTCCTAGAGCTCCTCATTCTTGCTGCTCAGAGTTTATTTCCCCTATTTATTTTCTTTGCTTTTGAGTTTAATATTTCATGTGTGAGGTCAGAGGACTAGTTCAGAGCCCTCTGGAAAAGATAAAAGATATCAAACTTCTGTAATTTGACAAGTGACAGATTGTGGTTTCAGGATCTGATAGTAACCATAACAATAAAGACCCATATCAATAATCACCAGGTTGTTTTTCCTTTTTACAGAAGTGACTTTTTTTAACTGAGCACTCATGCTTGATGTAGACTATCTCTAACAGGAAAACATGGGAGGTAAAAGCTCAAATCACCATAATCATTAACCTATATCAATGAAGTGTTAATATGCCAAGCATTTCTGCATATTCCATCTTCTCTTTTATATAACTTTTTCTTTTTTTTTTACATGAAATAATTCTCCTTATAGTTATATAATGTTATATATTAATTAATGTATTATATGTAAAACATCTCCCTATATTTGGAAATTTTGAAGGCATCTTTTTTTTTAAGACTTACTAATATTCTATCCACCAGGAATTTCACAATTAACTTAACTCTTCTCATATTGATGGATATTTAAGTCTTTCCTAACTTTAAATCAGTCTGATTTTCTGATTACCACCACAACAGCAAAAAGTAAGTACCTTTACCAAAGAACACATCATGTTAAGATACTGCTAGATTGTCAAATTAATTTTACACTCAAATTAAATTTACACTTAAATTTGCAATATGTGCTCTCCCTCACAGTTTTAATTTTAAGAAATTTCATTTTCTCATGACAAAAATGAGAGTAGATGTATTTAAATTATTTATTATCCATTTGCGTTACTATCCCTTCCTTCTCGGCAATACCTGGTCGTGTTTACTGTTCTATAGTCTACTTTTTCACGGTGTCATTTTTATTGGTTGGTGTCAACTTTTAAAGGAATATCCTTCCTTTTTCTTATTCAAGAGTATTTTCAAACTCACTTGCCTAATTTTTTATGCAATGTTTACATAAGATTTTCTTTGGAATACAGATGCTGGTATGCAGTCAAGTCAACTGAGGTGGTCATTTGTGATTTCTCCAGCTTTTTCTGGGCTTTGAGAGTCCTTTTCCATCTAACCTAAATGAAATAATCATCTATATTTTTATGTTTTATTATTTTTTTTTAAATCAATGATGTGATTAACTGGACCTTATTGTTGTGTTTGGTAGGAAGTGAGAAGAAGGAAACATCTTTTCCCTCAATCCACTGCTTTTCCATTTCCCCAAACCATTTTATCATGTAAATTTTCTTTTTCTCACTAATGAGTAATGTTTAAATAATCATGAAGTATATCAGTTAACATTATAAATATATAACATATAACATTTTATTAATATTTATATATATTAATTTTATCAATATAAATTTTGGTACTTGTCTATTCTTGACTTTCCATGTGTGTAATTAAAAAAATTAGTTCTTTAATGACAATAGAAGATCATAAAATGCAGAGATAAGAAAGTTGATTGCATCATGAAGTGATATCTACAGCCCACTATGGGGAAGAAACTAGAAAAACTGGCTATAAAAAGCAGCAAAGAGAGCCATAGGGGCAGGGACTGGGGTAGAAGAACCAGGCTTAAATGCGTCATCCTTCCCCATAGTCAAGGTGAATACTTGCTGCCCCTGACGATCAAGGAAAAGCTAAGTCACTTTTTTTTTTTTAGCTAAGTCACTTTGGACATGTTTAATATGAAATAAATTTGTAATGAACTGAAAATTACATACATTAAAATAATTTAAGTAGGTGTTTATTACAAAACCCTACTCATTTTAGGTCTAGGTTTGCCCTTAGTGTTCCCTACTGAAAGCAGTTCTGCCTTGCGTTTGGCAACCGGGGTGTTCTATTTAAACCAATAATAAGAGGAACACCTCTGTTAAAAGAGAGACAGTGAGTCCCAAATGGTATCACTTGTGCTAAGGTTTATATGACCAAACTAAAACTTACTAAGTAACTTACGTTTTAACTTCTCCCAGAAATGTAACCTTTAACTGGATAATCTGGAATTACTTGATAGGAAATAATAAGGTAATCTGTCTGATAGACCCCTTTTATTCCCATCGGAAGGTGACTTTGCCTGAAGTAATCCTCTTCTTTGCTTTCTCTGCCGCCTTTCTGTCTATAAAATCCCTCCACTTTAGATAGCTCTTCAAAGCTCCTTCCTCCTTGTTCGATGGGATGCTGCCCAATTCTTGAATTGTTAGAAAACTGATTCAATCTTTAAATTTACATGGTTAAAAAAACAGCAAATAAGAGACTCTGAAATGTTTTCAGGCAGTAGGATATTATATATAGAAATCCTGAAGAATCCACCAAAAAGTTATTACAAACAACAGAGGAATTCAGCAAAGTGGCAGATTACAAAATCAACATACAAAAATCTAAGTCTTTTTACACATAAACAAGAAACAAAAGAAATTAAGAATAATTCCACTTATAATGAGGCATAAAAACATACAATTCAATGATAAAAAAGTAATTAACTCAATTAGTAAATGGGCAGAAGACATGAACAGACAATTCACCGAAGGACCCTGTTACAAAACTATTGGTGGGAGCGTAAACCAGTGCAACCTTTATGAAAGCCATCTGGATTTACTTTAAGAATCCAAAAATGGAAACACCATACTACCCACCATTCCCATTCTTGGGCAGACCTCCAAAGAATATGAAGCCATGGATGTCTTCATATTTTGTCGAACAAAACCCCACGTGTTCCACAATGTTCATAGCATTAATCACAACAGCCTGCACATGAAAGCTGCCTAATGTCTACTGATGGACAACTGGATCAAGAAGATGTGGTATAGCCACACCATGGAGCACCATACAGCCATAAAAAAGGTGAAATGCGGCCATTCTTGACAAAATGGAGGTAGTTTGAGAAAATTGCATGTAGTAAAGCAAGGCAGCACAATAAAAACAAATACTGGACAAATGCATAGCAGACAATTTGAAAACACAAAACACTTCCAAAAATCAGCGGACATCAACAAATACTATTGAAGACTCTGAGGTTAAAAAGGATGGTCAAGGGAAATGGGCGAGGGTATATAGGGAAAGTGGTGGGAAAAAATTACAGATGACTACTGAAAATAGCAAAAACTTCTGTGCTTGGATAAAAGTATTAGTGGAAGGTCCATGTAAACATAAATAAATCAATAAATTTACCTGGTTGAGCTGTTTTTAAACGTGTCTTATTTAGTCCCTTTAGCAAACAAAACCTCTACTAAGAATCTCTGTTGAAGAGGAAGTCACAATTCCTGCCACACTTGAGGTCCCAGGCTAAGGGGGAAAATGACTGGTTATGAATTACCCAGCAGTGTGCCAAGGGGAGTCATCTTTTACTGCCTTGATACCAGAGGAACAGTCTGGCATGAGGAAGGCAGAACTGACATATGTGTTGAGGGTTTTAACGAATACATGTATTTATTAAATAATTTTACCTACATAATTCATTTTTGTGGAATATATTGTTTTCCAGTACGACCAGGCAGAAGCCCCTCCAGGAGCCTGCCTGAATAGGGGCGGGTGGGCACCCTTGCTCACCAATGTGGGGGCTGGCTGGGTCCGTGGCTCGCATGTATCTGGGAGTGTCTTCTTCCAGCAGGCGATGAGTGACTAACCCTGTGCAGCTCTGCAAGAGGATAGGTTGGGCATCACTTTCAATTCCTTCCAAGCGCCTGGCAATTCTTTCTTTTCTGTGCAAGACACCAAAAAAGGCATAGTGAGCAGTAGGAATCAATCCTAAGAGAAAACTGAATACTGCTTTGCCAAGCTCTTCTACTTCTTAATTATTTATAATAAATATCTTACCTTTTCATTTCTAAAAATTCTTTTCTCTTTGGCTCAAAGATTTTTCTTAATTCTGCAACTAAAGCAAATAAATATATAAAAATATAGTCCAGTATTTAGTAGTCATCATTTATTTAATTCACTCATGCAAAATTTATCCATCCAGCCATCTATATTTTTTTGAACTCATATTTTTGTTCTTAGATCCCACACAAGTGATACAAAAAACTAACAAAGTTCAGGCTTCCCTAGAGATTGTCTTCCAGTAGGGGAGGCAGATTGCTAAATGAATAAGTATAAACCTCCATCCTCACTCCCACACGCACACATCGCAGGTCAAGCTAAGAAGTAAAACCATGAAGGTAAAGAGACAGAGTGACAGGAGTGAGTTTTATTTCATCCACAGAAGTCAGAGGTGGCCTATCTCATTTATTTTTAAGTTTTATTAGGTTTAACAAAGTATTTTAAGCTTTTCAATATGGAAAACTACAAACATCTGCAAAAGTAAATACCAGTCCCTATGAACCCCACATGCCCAGCAGCAAGCCACAAAATCATAAACTCACACCACTTGTCTATTTCATGCTGTCATTTACCTGTAAGTATGTGCAACTACCTGGTTGTTTCCAGTTGTACCTAACGCAGCATATCTTGGTTAAATACAATTTAGATTAATAAAGTTCCTAAGTCTTCCCTTACAGCCTTTAACTGGGAGGAAATGCTAATAGTCGCCTTGCAATAACTGAAGCGGATGATGGATATAGTAATAACCCTAACTTTTCTGGCAATGATGGTTGATCAGATAAATATTTTGCTGACATTTGGGTCTCATGTGATACTGACCAGAAGAATATTATGAAGATGCCAAACAACTGTTGTTGGGGAAAATGGAAAAATTTGGTGGAGAATAAAAGTCCCCTCTTCTTGCTTCCTCCTCAGTAAATGAATTCATAAGGGTTCATTTGAGTTCCTCCTTTTGAGGACCCCGGAAAGGGTGGGAGAGGGAAGGGAGCTGCCGATAGTCCCATCCCAAAGAAGAGGGTATGAATACATGAAATTCAATTTTCAGCTGCTTCAACATCCATTTTTATTCTTTTAAAAAGTGAACACACTTAGTAATAAGGCAAAACCACACACACACAAACACACACACATTTATATTGTCTTTTAATTGTGTTCAAAGACAGGAGTCATGTTTTATTTTAAAATGATGGCTACCTTAAAATTTTAGTTGGATTGACTTTTGTTAACAAGAGTTGGCCTCAAAAAAGTCTTTCCCAATTGGCCTCCAAGGATCCAAAGCAGCTGGAGGCAGAGGTGTGTTTGCTCTGCAATGTTAACCAAGTTCCTATTTAGAAGTCAAGGACACAATAATAAAGGTGCATCCTGTTCTGCCTTTTGAAGAAGTCTGTCTAATAATAGCTTAACAATAAGCTTTAGTGAGATTATAGTGATAAAACTTTAATGGGAGATTGTGTATTTTGAAAATATTTTCAAGAATAATAAAAACCAAAGAGTATCAATTTATTTAAACACCATGCAGGAGAAAGGAGCTGTAATTTTTATAGGCCTGTTGAAAAAGCTAATGAAACCACATTCCAAGAATACTCTGAAAGGTAAGTCTTAAACCAGTGCCTCAATCCCTTAACTGAGAAACAGAGTGTATTTATTAATAGGGCGCTGAGTAAAATGGCACCTTTTCGCCTCCAAAAGCTTTTGCTTTTTTTCCTCCAAAATAATTTCAACTAGGTTTGCTATGGTCTGAATGTGCCTTCTCCCTAAAATTCATATGGTGAAATCCTAGCCCCTAAGATGATAGTACTAGAAGGTGGGGAGCTTTGGGAAGTGATTAGGCTTTGCTCTCATAGTTGGGATTAGTGAGTGACCTTATATAAAAAAAAGGGCTCCTTGACCCCTTCCCTCATGTGAGAGTAGGAGGAGAATTTGGCCATCTGCAGCTGCAAAGAGGATCCTCACCAGGACCTGACCAAGCTGGCACAGCACTACAGCTATGAGCAATCCACTTTTGCTATTTATAGGCTGCCCAGTCTCTGGTATTTTTCTATAGTAATCCAGATGGACTAAAACAGAATAAATATAAAAATATGAATGTGATACACACGGAGCAGCATATTACCTCCATTGGGAAAATTTAAGATATGCTTTGGTTCTAACTTGAGACTGAAATCTATTCATTTCATTAAATTTTCAAATTTTGTTATAAATTATGCAACTAAAGACATCTTTAAAAATTCCAGCAGTTGAGCTCTCCTGCCCGCCTGTGACTATGCAGGAGTTTGTTTTCACAATCCTTTTTTCCCTTTGCAAAGAGAGCAGCAGTGACAGCTCAGCTGCCCACCCCTGCAGGTGCCTCTCTTTTTTTCATTCTCCTTTTCCAAAGAAAGCTGTCCTTTTAAAATGGGGGAGGGGGTTTCCAGCAGTGCAATGACAAAGCTAAGCAATAAGTTGCTTTCTTACATGCTGTATTTCCCAACTTCTCAAAGGAAGTGTCAACTAGGAAACTATGCAAACACTCTACCCACAACAAACTGTACATTCCCTAGTGCCATTACCACTCTGCTTCAACAGTCTGCAAAGATTGGTAATATGAGCAGGCTGACAGTCAGCATAGAGCTCATCATAAAAATTGAACCCCAAGAAGCCTGGGCAGTGAGAGAAAAGAGCAAGGACAAGTCAAGTTATCCTGCTGTCCTTGGAGACCTCTCTTTCTTGACAAAACAAGTTGGGCAACCCACCGTGAATATGTCATCTAACAGCCATTCACTGCTGGCGATTAGAAGTCTCAGGGCAGCGATCAGACATACAAGGAGTACCTCATCGGGGTCAGACTCAGAATGTTGGTTCTGGTATAGATCAAGTTCACCCTGGGGGTGCTGATGGCCTTTGAGTGGGAAATTGTTTTGTTGTGCACTCTGCACAACAGGATGCTGGGTGGCCCTGCCTCTCATACTAGTTGCCAAATACCCCAGTTGCTATGACACAAAACTGTTCCCATATATTTCCAAAGCCTTCTTTGGGATGGTACTGTGATAGAATGAGAACCACTGATCCCATAGAAAGGTTTCAAATAGGCAGCCTGCCTGCTAGATAGTCACACGAAGGTTATTCCAGTGACAGGCATAGTGGTCCATCACCACACTCTTTTTAAGCCTAGATTCAAACTTATACTATTTTAAGTCTATAACCTCACAGTCTTTAGCACTATCTAATGTATAATCTCTATACAGGTAATCTTTCGATTATGTGTTCATGATCCACAGTTAATGGAAGTCCCTTTGGGGAAAAAACATAGATCATTTAAGCATTCAATTTCCCAGAAGCAAGAATCACTCACTAAATGAACAGAAACTTCCATAAATTTGAAAACAAACAAAACTCTAAGCTATTAAAATGTATAATCAGTTACTGCCTTTAACATTATGTTGCCAAAACTTGATAATACCATTAATCTGTCTGTTAAGACGAAAAATGAGAAGATTGCTGGTAATACAGGGTCTTGCCAAACACATGTGCCCAAATTCACAAAGGGCAAAACAAAGTCTATGATATGAGACTAGGGAATTTATTTTTTCCACCACCATCCCTCTACATCCTGCTTTCTCCTTCAGTCTCCCTTTTAACCTCCGACCCTTCCCAGTGTTTGTTGATATCCACTGGTTTTTGGAAGTGTTCTGTCTGCTATGTAAATGTCCGGTAATTGTTTTTATTGTTTTGACTTGCCTACTACACAATTTCTCACACACCCTCCATTTTGTCAAATGTATCAAGAAGTTGTGGTATATTTATGCAATGGAGTACTACTCAGCCATCAAAAAAGACAAACTCATGCCATTTGTGGCAATATGGATGGAGCTGGAAGGGATCATGCTAGCTAAAATTAGTCAGAAGGATAAAGATAAATATTGGATGGTCTTACTTATATGTGGAATATAGAGAAACCAAACAAAAAGTCAAGAAAAAAGTCAAAACTACCAAGCTGACCATAGAACTGAGGCACACAGCAAAGAAGGGATGGGAGGGAGGCCAAATAGGGAGGGATGAACACAAGGGAATATGGTGATGGCTCATGGGTGATATACTGCATGTGCATCTGTACCAATGAAAACACTAAGTCATTGAACATGTGAACACCTACTTGTAGAAGGAGAGAGGATTAAGGTATAGTCTGCACCTGGTATGTATCAGCCAGCAGGGAGCAACCCGCTGTTTAAGTGTAAATGCCATAACATTGGGAAGTGTCAAGAGGCTGGAAGGAGTGGGAGTGGTTGATTACGAGTAGCATTCACTGATCTTGGAAAGGTAAGGGTAGGAGAGAAATGGGGTTGGGTTGATTCTATCATCCATCTCTCATTCCCCCAATCAGCCTTAAGAAAAAACTTAACAATTCCTAAAATGAAAAGGAAAGATCATGCAAAAAGGTGAGGATAAAAAAATGCAAGAGGGGTACTTTCATTAAGGTCAATTATTGTTTTAGATAATGAGTACTCACAAAGAAGCGTGCAAGCTGGAGGTTAGTGCGAGAGTTTTCCTCAAAGAAAATCAGATTATTACAATACTATATGCCCAGGACACTGGTTAAGCATTTAGAAAAATTCTTACCTTTAGGAAGTACAATTAAGAGCTTAGTATCAACTCCTCTTCTGTGGTTAGTAAGTTGCTCTTTATCTTCAAGCAAGAAATCTTTCTGAAAGCTGAAAATTATTTCATTAATAAAATATTTCAAGTTGATTTAAATGCAGGTAAATGATAAGTGAAAAAAATGCAAACATAAACTTTATGTTATTTTTATAAATAATGACATTTGTGCATGTAGATTACAAGTAAAAAGGTTTTTTAGGGAGTTAATTTATTTATATTATGCTAATATGATACTTTTGTGTCACTAAGTAATCATTATCAGCACAGGCTGGTGGCATGGTATAGGGTGCTGAAACATTCCTGAACTCAGGTCTTGGTCAAAATGACAACCTTCATTTTGATTTTTAGAGCCATCGATTTTTGCTTTGTCTAAGCTGGGATCAATCACTCAACCTTTCTGTGCTTGAATTTCTTCCTCTCAGAAAACCAGCAACTTGTCTAGGTGATCAACATGCTTTCTTCCAGTGTTAAAAAATCATAATAAAGTAACAAATGCTCTCAAACAACCAAGAAATCAAAGCTTGGCGAACAGGTCTGAAAGAATCATAAAAACTTGTCTTGGGAAAAAAGAGGAAATGAAAGGGGGAAGAATAAAGGAACAGAGCACCTATATAGACTTTCTTATTGACTCAGCATATTCCAGGTATTATTATCTTAATTATCTTCACAAGATCCCATGAGGTATAAACTGAATAGTGATGTGGTGGCAGACATTTAACAACTGGCTCCTTTTTCTTGCTCACTTCTCTCCCAGACAAAGTGCCTGCCTTGCAGTATTAGCTCTCAGTATGGTAAATTTCAAGGTACCCACAGGGGCTCATTGAGCTCAAAGTTGAAGAGAAAAGCATACTTGCTAGGATGAGGTGGCAGGTGTGTGCCGGTTCTAGCACACCACTGAAGCTACTAACATCCTAATTTTACAGATTAGGAAACTGTGAGATGATTTGCCCAAGGACACATATTTGGCAACAAGAGTACACAAGGTACAAACTAGCTCCTGCTCTAACACTATGCACAGTTGTCCCAAGTGTGTTGTACCCACATCTCCAAGGTCTTCCCTGGGAATGTGCCAGCAGCTTGGTAAGACAGTGAGCTGCTACCTTGGAAAAAAAAACCCAAACCTAAGAAATCAGGGAACTAATATTCCCCAAAGGCAGAATCACCTCCAGCAAGGTGAACAATGGGCTGAAGAATGTACCCCATATAAAGCTGACCTTCCCCATGAATAAGTATCTTTACTCTGCAAGGGTACATTTCCAGAGGCTGAGAAAATGACTGCAGAAAGTATGCACGTGACATGTAAATCTAAGTGCAATACACCAATAATCCTACCTTCCTAGAACCAAGCTCATCAGAAATCTTAATTATTGCTTATAAATGTAGTATGGTTTATTTCCATAAACATGAGTTCCATATTTTAGTATTATTTAGTAAAATGTCTTTAGAAAAAGAAGTCTTTATAAACCACACTCCAGATGTCTCAAGATCCTGGACACCGACTTAGGTCAGAAACTCAGTGATAGCACTAACTTCTAACTAGTGAATGACAGTGCAGTGACTAGTCTTTTCAGCGTTTTATTTAGATGCATCATGACGAATAAATTTCTGCTAAGGAATGCTATTTTAATTTTATTGATTGATCAATTGCTATTTAAACATTTGATAAGTTTTGTACTTTCTTTGAAAACTCCAGAAAAAGATTATATTAAAATGAAATGATGCAATCCTTGAAATATTCAGCTTCCCAGGCTGACCGTTATGTATAAATTATTATGTTTTAAAAAATATACATCTGTAGGTTTTTACTCCCCCTTTGTTATGCTTACCAGTAAGCTCAATGAAACTACTAATAAAGACAAAGACATTCTCTCTTAAACATTTTGCTGAATTTTACATAGTGGGGTTCACAATCATCACTGGACACCTGCTATTTCAAATGCACTTACTTTCTTGAAAAAGCTACAAATAGTGTCACACCAATATACAGTACAGCCTACGTAAGGTTGGTTAGAAACCAAGGGAAAACCAAAATGCTGTCAGAAAAATCTCATGTTTAACAGGGCTTACTGAAAATACTATTCCCTTGCCCTGAATTCTCTCCTTTCCACACTTTTTCCATCCTGACTGAGTCTTGCTCCTGATCTGGTCCTCAGTTTCATGGTCATTTTCTCCAGGAAGAATCCCTGACCACTGTATTTCCTACCTGGCACCAAATCTGTAACATACAGTATTTCCTTTACGGTACTGTTTTTCTGTCTGCACATATTCAAGTGTTTTATTAAAAGCATTGATTTTTTTTTTTTTTAATTTTTTCTTTTACCATTTCTTTTTTTTTTTTTTTTAATAATAAATTTTATTTTTATATTCCACATACAATTGCAGCCCCCCCATTCTGACCCAATCCCTCCCCTCCCGCCCTCACCCCCCAAAAAGTGTCTCTGGTTCATAGTTTTTTGTTGATTTGATTTTCACTTTCTTATAGTTATTCATTTTCCTGGTCCCTTATTTAAGTTTTCTAGATTCCTGCTATGAGTGAGACCATCCGGTATTTTCTTTTTCTTTTTGGCTTATTTCGCTGAGCATGATCCCTTCCAGCGCCATCCATGTTGCTGCAAATTGCATGTGTTTATCTTTTTTGAATGCTGAGTAATATTCCATGGTATATATGTACCACATCTTCTTGATCCAGTCATCGATTTTTGGGCATTTGGGTTGTTTCCAAAGCTTAGCTATTGTAGACAGTGCTGCTATAAACATAGGGGTGCAGGTGTTCTTTGGAATTGATGTTTCTGTGTCCTTTGGGTAAATACCTAGGAGTGGAATTGCTGGATCATATGGAAGCTCTATGTTTAGTAGGTTCAGAAATCTCCACACAGCTTTCCACAGTGGTTGGACCAGTTTGCACTCCACCAACAGTGCAGAAGAGTTCCTTTTTCTCCACACCCTCGCCAACATTTGTTGTTGCTAGTTTTTTAATATGTGCCATTCTCACTGGTGTAAGATGGTATCTCATGGTAGTTTTGATTTGCATTTCCCTGATGACAAGTGATGTTGAACATTTTTTCATATGCCTGTTGGCCATTTGCATTTCCTCTTCAGAGAAGTTTCTTTTTAGCTCTTCTGCCCATTTTTTGACTGGATTATTTTCTTTGTTGTTGTTGAGTCTCATCAGCTCTTTGCAGATTTTTGTGATCAGTCCTTTATCATTAGTGTTGGGTGCAAAATGTTCTCCCAGTTGGTGGGGTTTCTCTTTGTTTTGTTATTGTCTCTTTTGCTGTGCAGAAGCTCTTTAATTTGATGTAGTCCCAGCTGTTTATCTTCGCCTTCACTATCACTGCTTTGGGTGATGTGTCTGTAAAGATGTCTTTGATGTGCAAATCACGTAGTGTTTCGCCACATTTCCTTCTATGTATTTTATGGTTTCAGGTCTTATGTCTAATTCTTTAATCCATTTTGAGTTGATTTTTGTGTATGGTGTGAGGTAGTGGTCAAGCTTCATTCTTTTGCATGTAGCGACCCAGTTTTCCCAGCACCATTTATTGAACAAACTTTCTTGCTCCAATGCATAGTCTTTGCTCCTTTGTCAAAGATTAGTTGACCATAAATCTGTGGGTTTATTCTGGATTTTCTATTCGATTCCATTGGTCTGTATGTCTGTTCTTGTTCCAATACCATGCAGTTTTGATGATTATGGCTTTGTAGTATAGTTTGAAGTCTGGGAGTGTGATGCCTCCATTCCCTTCTTTTTTTTTCAGGAGAGCTTTGGCTATTCGGGGTTTTTTGTGATTCCATATGAATTTCATCAATATTGTTCTATTTCTTTGAAGAATGACATTGAAATTTTGATTGGAATAGCATTGAATCTGTATATTGCTTTTGGAAGGATGGCCATTTTAATAATGTTTATTCTTCCAATCCATGAGCAGGGGATGTCTTCCATTTCTTTGTGTCTTCTTCTATTTCTTTTAACAGTGTTTTATAGTTTTCTTTGTATAGGTCCTTTACCTCTTTTGTTAGATTTATTCCCAAATATTTGATTTTTTTTGTTTCAATAACGAAAGGGATGGTTTTTTGATTTCTTCTTCTTCAGATTTATTGTTTGTGTATAGGAAGGCTACTGACTTTTGCGTGTTGATTTTGTATCCTGCCACTTTACTGAACTGATTGATGAGTTGAATTAGCTTTTTCTGTGGAGTTTTGGGGTTCTCTATGTATAATATCATATCGTCTGCAAATAGTGATAGTTTGACTTCTTCTTTTCCTATTTACATTCCTTGTATGTCTTTCTCTTGTCTTATTGCTCTGGCTAGGACTTCCAGTATTATATTGAAAAGCAGTGGTGAGAGTGGACATCCTTGTCTTGTTCCAGATCTTAATGGAATTGCTTTCAGCTTTTTCACCATTGAGAATGATACTGGCTGTTGGCTTGTCATAGATGGCCTTTATGATGTTGAGGTATGTTCCTTGTATCCCAAGAATTTCAAGGGCTTTTATCATGAATGGGTGTTGCACTTTGTCGAAAGCTTTTCTCAGCATCTATTGATATTTCATATGGTTTTTATATTTCTTTTGTTGATGTGTTGGATAACGTTGATGTGATTTTCGGATGTTGAAACCATCCTTGTGTCCCTGGAATGAATCCTACTTGGTCGTGGTGAATTATCTTATGGATACATGGTTGGATTCTGATAGCTAAAATTTTATTGAGGATTTTGCATCAGTGTTCATTGGGAGATTGGCCTGTAGTTTCCCTTTTTGTGTTGTCCTTGTTCGGTTTTGGTATTAGTGTAATGTTGGCTTCATAGAACGTGTTTGGTATTCGTCCCTTCCTTCTCAATTTTTTTGGAGAAGTTTGTGAAGGATAGGCACTATTCGTCTCTGAATGTTTGGTAGAATCATTTGTAAATCCATCAGGTCCTGGGCTTTTGTTTGGGGAGTTTTTTGATTACCATTTCAATTTTCGCTAATTGTAATTGGTCTGTTTAGGTGTTCTATTTCTTCTTTATCTAGCTTTGGGTGATTGTAGAGTTGTAGGAATTTGTCCATCTCCTCTAGATTGTTAAACTT